CCCTTTTCTTACTCCTACGCTGCACTACCTGAATATTCTGCTCTGTATTATAGCCAGTTGTGCACATCTATCTCCCCAGCTAGATTAGAAAATACCCTTAAGAAACCAATATTATTTACCTGTAATCCCAAGAGATTGGTATAATGTATTATACACCCAATAGATGTTAAAAAATGTATTATCATTTCAATAGAGGACACGCAAAGTTTTGATAGGTGATAATAAATCCAACCAATGTAGCTTTATGTGCAAATGTGCAGGCAGGGACAAGAATGGCTAATTTGTGTGTTGGGAAAGCCTGGCTGGAGCAGATGTTGCATTAATGCAGCGCTTGGAAGAGATCCAAAACCCCTGGCATCAGTGTGGCATTGCTTTACTGGAGTGTGACCTTTAAGATTAACATGCACATACTCTCCCATGCTGTATGTTTTTGGATAAGTGAACCCTAGGATAGGAAATACAGAAAAGATTTCCTTTTCCCCTCCAAAAAAATGCATATTCTCAAGAAAAGGGAAAGAGGAATTCAACTCACTAACCACAGACTCTTTAGGTTCTTCACTTTCAAAACAGCAATTAATTTACACTCAGGACTCCTCCCATTCTTTAGAGAATTAACCAGGTTATACCATGCATGTACAGCAATAAAAACAACCCCTTTGTAGCTCCTTGCTTGATCACTTTCTAACAGTAGCTCATACGTTGAAAGCAAACATATACGCCAAGGCGAACCACTGACTGTTTGAATCTTCCTACTTGATGAGGGATTATAGAGACCCATCCTAGAAATACATCTGGCCTCAACTCTTTCAGCAAGCTTTGCTCGGCAGATCAGACACAATCCTCAGACAGATGCTTTGTGTGTCTGCCCTTATATACCTTGATAAGAAGTCTGGACATTAGCCAAGAGAACATGGAAAGAGTTGAAGGATCAGTGAAATGCATCCCCTTTATTTCTACAACTCAATGAGAAACTCAATAAATCTTGATATCAAATACTCCAAGGTTTGATTAAAAAGTACCACATAAGACAAAACAAACATCTTAATATCTTTACCTGCCCGTCCATCAGGAACTTTGGGTTTAGCATGTAGGTAATAAAATATTAAAAAGGAAGTGTTCTCTCCTCTCTTTACTCTAAACCTACACCTCCTACTAATATCTCTAAAACATTCACAGCAGAGGGCCAGCCAAGTGGCACAAGCGGTTAAGTGCGTGTGCTCTGCTGTGGCAGCCTGGCAGCCTGGGGTCCGCCGGTTCGGATCCCGGGCACACACCAATGCACTGCTTGGCAAGTGATGCTGTGGCGGCGTCCATATAAAGTGGAGGAAGATGGGCACGGATGTTAGCCCAGGGCCAGCGTTCCTCAGCAAAAAAAGAGGAGTATTGGCAGATGTTAGCACAGGGCTGATCTCCTCACAATAAAATAAATAAATAAAACATCCACAGCATCCAAACCCAGAATCCAAGTAGAATCGGAAAGGAACAGGTTAACTTCCTTTGTAGTTGCAAAAGAAGATCCCAAGAGTGAAACTATTTCCAAGTTTTCCTGATCAACTGACAATGAAGAATTTCATTGTTTCCACCCTACCTTAATGTTTATAAATCTGACTTCCATACTAGCCACTTTTTAATTTTATTTATTTTTTGGTGAGAAGACTAGCTCTGAGCTAACATCTGTTGCCAATCTTCCTCTCTTTGTTTGAAGAAGATTGTCCCTGAGCTAACATCTATGCCAATCGCCCACTATTTTTGTATGTGGGACGCTGTCTCAGCATGGCTTGATGAGTGGTGTGTAGGTCCATGCCCAGGATCTGAACCTGTGTACCCTGGGCCGCTGAAGCTTAACCACTTAAGCCAAACCAGGAGAGCGAACTTAACCACTACTCCACTGGACCGGCCCCAGTACTAGCCACTTTAAAGAAACTTCTCCCTTTACTGAAGTTCTATGGTTTTCTCTACAGCTCCATTCATGGTCCTTTCCTCATCCACTCATTTCTATGTCAACTTATCCTTTCCTCTGATTTCAGTCACCACAGATACACCAGAGTCTCAAATCTGTACTTATGAGATCAGGCTTCTCTCTTGAGTTCAAAACTCAACTTATCAGCTATCTTTGATGTCAACTATCTCTGTTGCAAATTTAACATGTTGGTAATAAGACAATTAAAAATAAAAGTATCCTTTCTTTTCTCTCCATCCTAAACCTAATTCCTCTTCTATATCCCTAAAATTTCATGGCATTTGTGGTGGTTTAAAAATATGTTCACAAATTCTTTTTATATTCCTCCTTTCAAGAGGTGGAGCTTGAGTGTGGACTTGGTGACTTACTTCTAACAAGAATATGGCGGAAGTGACAGTATTTGATTTCCAAGACTAAAAGACATTGTGGCTTCCACCTTACTCTCTTGGATTGCTCACTCTGGAGTAAGCCAGTGGCTATGTCATGAGGACACTCAAGTAGACCTTGGGAGAGGTACATGCAGTGAGGATGAGTCTTGCTGCCAATGACTAGTTAGAGACTGAGGACTTCCACCACCACCGTGAGTAAGCCTTCTTGGAAGCAGATGTTCCAACTCCAGTCAAGCCTTCAGATGACTGCCGTCCCAGACAACAGTTTGACTGCAACTTTACGTGAGACCTCGAGCCAGAGGCATCCAGCTAAGCTGCATTTGGACTCCTGATCTGCAAAAACTCTGAGATAATAAATGTTTGCTGTTTTAACTAGCTAAGTTTTGGGGTAATTATGCAGCAATACATAACCAATATTGCATCCAAACCCAGAATCCAAGGAATAGAAATGGTGAAAGGAAATGAAGATTTTAATTGAACTCTCTTCCCACTCTAATCACAGTCCTCCCTCCTACTTTCTCAATGAGTAACACCATTATTTACCCAGTATCCCAAATGAGAAACCTGTAAGCCATATTTGACTTTACCTACCAACTGCATCACCAGGTTATTTTTTTCTCCTATCACTAGAGCCCATCCCAGCTCTTATTGCTTTATATCAAGGCCTTTACTATTTTTCAGTTACTACAACACAGCTTTCTAACTTTTTTCTTCCCTACAGTCTTTCCCAGCTCCATTCCATTCTCTAGACTAACGCCAATAAGAACTTTTTCAAAAACATACCTGATCATGTTCTTTTTATTAAAATTCACTACTAGTTACACATTGCAGAGGACAAAATGCAAATGTCATTCATGGCATGTCTGTCCCTGTCATATAGCTTTTTTTCTCATCTCCCATGTTTATAGCCTATAATCTGGCCATCTTTCACCTTTGCATATGCTGCTTTCTTTCTGTGTGGAAGATCTTTCATTCTTTCCTTATCACTTCTTTTCATATTTCTTTAAAAGACTCAGTTCAAGCTCTAGCTCAGAAAACCTTCCTTAATTATCAGGACCAGGTTATATGGCTTTCTTATATCACTTTATAAGAGCACTTATCACATAGATCAGTATTGTGTCCTCCAGTAGAATGTGAGCTCCTGGAAAAAAAAAAATCTATCCTTGATACCTAGACATTCATTTATTCACACATCCAACTTACATCTACTAAGCAACTACATGACAGACACTATTTTAGGTGTTTGTTACATAACAGTGAACAAAACAAATATGCCCCTGCCCTTGTACAGCCTGGAGTCTATTCAAGAAGAAAGACAGTAAGTGAAAAAAAAAATATTGTGATATGTGGAAAGAGAACGTTTTATGAGACAGTAACAGTGGGGACCTACTTTAGATTGTGTGGCACACACATGAACTCAAACATTTACTGAATTAAATGTTTTCCAAGAGGTATGTATAAATTACACCTTTACCATGGAGGTATAAGTGGGCCAGGTTCATCATATCCTTGCCAACACTGAGTCTGAATTTTTCTTAAAAAAACTCTTTGCTTGTATTGTCAATATCAGTTTGTTGCTTATACACTCTCAGTACTAAAAATCAAGAAAAAGAACACAAGATATGATCAAATATACATTAAAAGAAAGAGGCTTGACTAAGCACAAGTGGAAAACTAAGGCTAGCTTTTATATACTATCAGGATTACTCAAATGTATGGCTAAGATCATTTCAAAATAATCACTTGCAAGATCATACATTTTAGTAAGTAAAAAGCAACATTAAAAAAATGAAAGCCAAGTCTTTCTGGTATCCAGGAGTCTGAAGAAATCATTGTCTAGCTTTTTTAAAAGAGCAAATTCCAAGGGAATCCCTGCCTCTCCCTTTGTTCACTGCCAAATGATTCACAACTAAAATATTTCTGGGATATGGGAGTATGTAACAAAGTTAAAAAATAAAAAGATCAAGTCTGTTTTAAAAAAAAGCTCAATGTTTCAAAAAGGAAATGGCAGAATGGGACATTATATATTAAAATACATAACACAATTTTACTAATTACTCACTAGTTTAAAAATATTTTATAACTGACCAAAAAATCAAAACAAAACTTGGGAGTTGAGGATAAAAATACTCAACTGTTACTTAATAATAGTGAGAAGATTTCTGGGACTAATTTCTTACATTAATATAAAACACATAAAAATTTCCAAAAACAAAGCAAACATTGCTTTGGATTACAAAACTTGCATTTTACAAATGATGCACATATTTCTGAAAACTTTAAAGAACAGGGATACAAAAATTAAGTCAGTCCATTTCTTCTTAAGTCCAAATTCGCTACAGTAACATCAGCTGAGCGTGCCCTTTTCCAAAATCATCTATGTGGTCCTGGAAAATTTAAATTAACTAGGATAGATGAGGAAAAAATAACTGATGATGTACCACACATTAGCCTTGTCAGTTGAAATAATGAGACTTTTCTGGAAATCATGCTCATCTCTTTGCTTTCAATAGTATATATCATACTCACCCGGAATTTGTGCTAAGAGAGAAGCATTCTGTCACCAAACCTGCTACACCACAAAGTTTTCTGTTTGTTTTTTTTTTTTAACAAACCGATGGTTGCCCAACAAGAAACTGTTAACTTGTGACTTTTCAGAGGCAAGGAATTTTTTATTTTTAATTTTAATTTTTGGCTCCTGCAATGGAATTTCACCAAGTTCTTAAAGGTATTAACTTTATTAACCTGCAACAATCATCTTAAAATAGTATATAAAAACTGTCACAATAGATCAGAAACAAGGTTTGTGTTGCTCAAAATTATCTCTGACAGCGGCAAGATTTAACCTTTTGAGCCAATCTCAACAGATTGGTGATATAACTCAAATTATTAACATAACGTACAATGATAAATATTGCTCTTGAAAAAAGTAAATTATTTTCTTATTTACAATTTTTAGAAAAGGCCCACTACAAAAATATTTTTCTTCTCTATATAGCTCCCTGTCATGCTAAGGTTAAAACATATCTAGATTTTCCTCAAACATCAAGTATTAAGAGTATAATATTCTATTTTAGTTGAAACATTCCTTCACATAGCCAACATGTTTTTTCAAGGCACTCTAAGAACTTTCAAGGACACTAAAAGAAAAATGTTCATCTCGTCTACTGATCTTTTAGGCATATCTCCCCTCAAACTTTTCTAAATTGAACATTGTTATAACTGGTTTTTCTTCATTTTCCATGGTGGAGTCCTTAAGTTATTTTTCTTTTATTTGGAACCACTCCTTCATTTTCAACTTGCTGAGCAGGCAGGCTTTTGGTTTCCATGGAAATCGGATTCCTGCGGCTGCGGGTAGGCATTCTTGTTCCACCAACCTAAGAGAGGAAGCAAAGAACAGAATAGCTTACCATGTTTACAACGTATTTATATACAGTTAACTCTGTATTATTTACAGATTGCACATGGACTAATTACCTTACTAATGGTCCTTTATATATTTTTAATCCCCAGTCACCTGGCTGCTTCTAAACAAACTTTAATCTGACACAGTTTTAAAGTACTAAACTTTCAAATAACAACCAGGGAAGGCGACAGATGAAGGTAGATGGAGAGAAGCAAAGGGGAAACCACTCTCCGTCTTAAATTTGGAAGAGGTTGAAATGTTAAATTCGAAAATGAGGGAATGACAGGCGTTGTCAGCAATGTGTTTGCAATAATGAAGCTAAAGGGCAGGAGAAAGGAAGAAATGAGAAATATGAAGGGAGGGAAAGGAAATACAAGAAGAAGGTCAGAGGTCACACAGAGGGAAAAGAAATTACAAAATGGAGAGTAACAAAAACAGAAGAGTCCAAAAGAGAAGGAGGAAATAAAGAGTAAACATGAAAGGAAGGGAAAAGAGAAAAGAAGCCAAGTAGAAAGGAAAAACTGAGGGGTTGAAAGAAAAGATTCTTGCAGGAGAGAAAGAAAGAAAAGGTGGAGGAAAAAACTGGAAGGAGACTACAGAGGATAGGAAAAGAGGAAGAAGGGAAGTGGGGGAAGAAACTTTGTTGGGGTGCTGGTTCTACCTTCATATCCACTCTTCTCAGCACAAGTTGCTACTCATCCTCTCTTTCTAGCTCACGCAGTCTAAAGAGAGAAGGTGTAGCCCTAGGACACAATCCCTTGCTAATTATAGTCCTGCTGAAGAAGAGATCTGGAAATGTTGTCATCTCCTTGGCCACTCAGAGAGAGAGCATAAAAAAAATTTTTTTTCCAATTCTTTTTGTTTTTTTTTAGAAGCTATCATTTATAATTTTATTTATTATTATTATTTTTCCCCCCAAAGGCCCAGTAGATGGTTGTAAGTCATAGCTGCACGTCCTTCTAGTTGCTGTATGTGGGACGCGGCCTCAGCATGGCCGGAGCAGCAGTGCGTCGGAGCGCGCCCGGGATCCGAACCCAGGCTGCCAGCAGTGGAGCGCGCGCACTTAACTGCTAAGCCATGGGGCCGGCCCCGAGAACATAAAATTTTTTAAAGGGGTAATGGAGAAAGCCAGGGCTTGCAGAGAAGGACCAAAGCTGTGTAGCCTGAAACCATTTCCTCAGAACCTGTCCCCATAGCTGTCCCTATTTTCCCAAGCCACCTTGCACCCTTTCTGTCTCTTCACATCTTGTCCAGTGAATTCCAGATCTGGGGGTGATGGGCGATACTGTAACTCCAAGCACACTCTCTCATATTCCTAATACAACAGACATATTATTAGCATTGCTCCAAGGGGCTACTGGCTCACTAAGAATGAATCAGATCCAACTTCCCTCACTGGAAGGGAATCTTGTCTCTCTAGGGGTATTTTTTGGTTTACAATTTGATGACTAGAAAGGACAAACTTGAGTTGGGAATTGAGTCTGTCAATCTGTCTGAGGCTGATGAACTTTTATAACAGATTGATTTGAAAAGTGCTGTGATTTTTAGACTATCTATACCACTCCCACTCAGCTGGTATTTACTATAAAAGTACACTGACCACAGTAATTGTATCAACTATATCATTGAGGAGAGCAAGCATTTTGAAACTTCCACTGCAAGATTACATATGTATTTGTGTGCATGCGTATGTGCGTGTAATGAATGTTTATTACACAAGTTGTGGAAGGAGAAAAGGGAGAGGGACAGACCCATTGCAAAACGACTAGAAGTGGAAGAAGTCAGGCATAGCACAGGAAGCAAATGAGTCCTCCTATTAAGCTCTGCTCCACGCAGTAGGAGGCAGATGCAGACTCTACTGGGGTATCTCTCAGGGTTAGTGCCTAAGATACAACACAAAGAAGAGATCTGAGTTCAAGTGGACTAGGGACTAAGGGATCGTATTAGAGGCAGAAACATTTGTTATATGAGTTTTTACACCTTGTAATATGTAGATGATTTCTGTTTCATATAGGGTTTTACTTCTCTGGGTTTCCTGAAGTTTTGGTCTTTTCCTATTGCAGCTAAGGCTAGAATCCCTATCTGTGCTCACTTTGGATGGACTAGAAGGTCCCATCCTGGCTAGGAGGAACTCAGGCAGGAAGGTGGGGTAATTCCCACCAAACGCAGAGACATATTTTAGGGAGATGTGTAAGAGATCACCAAAAACTTTCCATGGGCTTGAAAAACATCAAACCAAGCACTAGTTATCTAATTGTCTACTGTACCTAATGCTAGACTGTACAACAACCAGGTCCCGGATAATCTCGCTAAGTATTTGTCCCTGGACTGAATGTATGAAGCAAGTTAAAAAATATAAATCAACAAGTGCTCAGTAGTATATATATATAATTGAATTGTTTAACTTTATATTTATGTGGCCAAACTCTGAACATATGAAATTGTGTCAAGGTATTAATTTAAACTTTATTTTCACTAAAAAGGAATAAGCCACTCCCACACAGAATTATGTGTTATAGGTAAGAGACTACAATCAGAGTTTCTAAATTAAAAGGAAATCATTATCCTATAAAAAACATAAATCCTTAAAAAATAGTTTTCAATTATTATTTTTAAGTTAGTTAAGAAAATTTTGCCATAGGAGGTTATAAAAATCACTACTGATATTAAATTTAACTGGAAATAGCCAACCAAAACTGTAGATAAAATGGCTTAACATGCTAACAACTTTCTTCTTTCTTTCACTGTAGCAACTAGTTAACCACACTTATATATTTTCTTGGCCAAATTTAACTAAGAATGTGTAAGGAGTTCTCATTTCTAAAAGGATCCTTCCAAACAGTAACATTAGGGTAGAGAACTGAAAAACAGAAACAACCCCATTCACTATAAATTATAAAATATCCTCAATATGTGCATTCCAGTTATTTCTCAAAGGACTTGGGAACATTTATAGATTAATTTAATATAACATAGAAAAAAAGAAGAGAAAATATCCACAGGGTACACAAGTGATAGATGTTCTGGGGCACACACACTGAGAAAATTATAGAACTCAGACAGTAATTTTGACTCAAAGATTTTTGGCGGCAGGGAAGAAAAATACACCAGGTTTTTGTTTCCTAAACATTCAGGTTCACTTTAGAGAACAAAACTTTTCCTACAACTAAACTCAAATTGGAATTTCTTATACGATATAAAGAATGAGTGACATGGTAAAAAGTATCTCTAGCCATGGCTTTACACAAGTTTCACAGAGAGAAAAATCATTCAACCAGTATTTCTGGCAAGGATTCTATAAAGAGAGTAACATTAATTATAACTCAATAAATACTGAGTTATACAATACTTAGCAAAACACAATTTAGTCCTTAACATTTTATTGTACTTTTAATAAGGCACTACATTCACTAATTACTAACACTTGCTTTTATATTTTTCTATATCCTACTTATCAATTTTTAATTGTATCATGATAATTTTATTGTATGTATTCTTCTGGAAATTGCCTCAAATATTTAATGAAATGAAACAGTCTACATAAATAAAAATTACAAAAAAATATAACTTTGCTTTTCATAGAAACATGGAGATTTAACTATGTGGATGCCTTACTCATGCCCCTGCTGGGCAAGCTAACAGAATTTTCTTTAGCTGACTTATAAACCTTACAAAAATAGAAAGTTCCACTGACATAACAACTGGACTCAGTAGAGTATACAACTTTATCTACCCTTCCTATAGATATAGTTTTTAGAATGGTGTTGTGATTAATATGGCAAATGTGGACATCAGGTTGAAATATTGTACAGTCAGTGAAACAGATTAACAATAAACAACCTAATGGAACATTTAATTTCAAAAAAGATCTTACCTTTTGTTGTGTTGTGGGATCTAGTGATTTAGGCGGAAAAGTACAAGGTATTCTTCCATGATGGATATGATATGGTAGTAAGAGACTGGGATCTAATGGGACCCAGGGAACTGAGAGACTGGAAGGTACACCAGGAAGGCCGCAATGTGTTTTATGCAAATTGTATGCTGTCCTAGTAACTTTTCCATCAGATGTCTTGTAGATCAGGAGTGAAGAATCTTCTGCTGCATGAGACAACAAGTAGGAACCCTCCTGCAAGCTAAATCCACACAATGAAACAACTCATTGGCTTACTGTGTCAATTTCAAGAGCATTTTCTTAATCATAATCTATTAGTAAAATTGAAAACAATTATGGGAATGGAACACCACCTCTAAAAATACTTTTATAATCAAATAAGACTTAAGAACTTTTAACTATTTTCATGCCTTTTAGGCAACTAATTTTAATTCTTATTCCAAAGTTCAAGACATATAATTATTTTCTTTTTACTGTTCTATCAGTCAATTTGTAAGTTTTCAATAATTTAATGGGAAACAAATACTCTGCCTAATTCTGTAATCCATGGACAACATATACTGAAAAGCATTTTATGAGTGTACATACATAGCATTCCTATACAGGGCATTTTAATTCATTCAACAAATATTGCGCCCACTTTGTATCTAGTAATAGATAGGTGACCAGAGATACAAAAGTGAATGTGACACATTCACTACATTTAGTAGTTTAAAATAAAGTGGAAGAAACAGTCAATGGAACAATCACAATACAATATGAGGTGCTATGAGAACAACAGTAACAATAGCAGCTGAGAGGTATTGAATGTTTATCATGAACAACTGTTGTACTGCTTACATCCATTTTGTCGTTAAATCCTCCATAACAAACCTTCAAGGCATAATATTAATTATTAACCCTATATTAGAGACAAACAGAAATTAGAGATGCTAAGCAATTTGCCCAAAGTTCTGAGTGCAGGGCTTAGATATAAAACCAGGTAGTTGAACTCCACAGGCCATATCCTTAATCAGGATCCTCTCCTGTCACAATAATCACTTCTGTCCAACATCAAATCTACATTTTCCCTTTCTCCTTACAAAGCTTTAAGGAATTCAGTGTATCAACATAACAAGCTAACAGGGTATGATTAATAAACTGTGCTTTCTTGGGATTGTACACTCCTCTGGCTCAAAGGTGCTAAAGAGAACATCAGTTCTTTTCCACAATATATCATTAAAAATAAGGATTAATCTAGGGACAGCTAATCTTTGACAAAGAACATATAATGGAGAAAGAACAGTCTCTTCAATAAATGGTGTTGGGAAAACTAGACAGCCAAATGCAAAAGAATGAAAGTAGACCATTATCTTATACCATACACAAAAATTAACTCAAAATGGAATAAAGACTTGAATGTAAGACCTGAAACCATAAAACTCAGAAGAAAATACACGCAGTACACTCTTTGATATCAGTCTTATCAGTATCTTTTCGAATACTATGTCTACTCATGCAAGAGAAAACAGAAGAAAAAATAAACAAATGGGACTACATCAGATTCAAAAGCTGCAAAGCAAAGGAAACCATCAATAAAACGAAAAGACAACCCATCAACTGGGAGAAAATATTTGCAAATCATATATCTGACAAGGGGTTAATTTCCAAAATATATAAAGAATCCATACAACTCAACAACAAAACAATGAACAACCCAATCAAAAAATGGGCAAAGAATATAAACATTTTTTCCAAAGAAGATATACAGATGGCCAAGAGGTACACGAAAAGATGTTCAACATCACTAATTATTAGGGAAGTGCAAATCAAAACTACAATGAGATATCACCTCACACCTTTCAGAATGGCGATAATTAACAAGACAAGAAATAACAAGCATTGGAGAGGACGTGGAGAAAAGGGAACCCTCATGCACTGCTGGTAGAAATGCAAACTGGTACAATATTTTTGGTTTCTCAAAAAACTAAAAATAGAAATACCATATGATCCAGCCATTCCACTACTGGGTATTTATCCAATGAATAGAAAATCAACAATTTAAAAAGATTATGCACCCCTATGTTCATTGTGGCATTACTTGCAATAGCCAAGACGTGGAGGCAACCTAAGCGCCCATCAACAGATGAATGGATACAGAAGACGTGGTGTATATACAAAATAGAATACTAATCAGCCATAAAAAAAGACAAAACCATGCTATTTGCGACAACATGGATGGACTTTGAGGGTATTAGGCTAAGTGAAACAGACAGAGAAAGACAAATATCCTATGATTTCACTCATATGAGGAAGATAAACAAACACACAGATAAGGAAAACAGGTTAGTGGTTACCAGAGGAAAAGGGGATGGAGGGAGAGCAAAAGGGGTAAAGGGGTGCATGTGTATGCTGACGTATAAAAACTAGACTATTGGTGGCGAACATGATGCAATCTATACAGAAACTGAAATATAATAACGTACACCTGAAATTTATACAATGTGAAAAGCCAATACGACCTCAACAAAATAAAAAAATAATAAAATAAGGATCAATCATACTTGAGTTATACAGATCTGCCTACAAACCTGATAAGTTATGTTTTCATTAATTTTTTAAACTGAAAAGTAATAGGTGTTGATAAGGGAAGTTCAGAGAATTATTCTTATCCTCGGGAGAATTTTTTTCCCAATCACTTTTATATTTCCACATAAGGAAATGAATAATAATTGATTGGTGATAGGAATAAATAACATTTCAAAGATTGAGCTTTTATCAATGAGAATCATATATCTTAACTACCTTCACTAAAAATGAAGAAAGCTTTGGTTTACAGAGAGAATTCATGGAGAACAAGACACTCCAAGGAACAGTATCTTAAAAGTGCCATAGGAATGCCATGTACATGGCTGGATACAAAGTAGGGTAGGCGGAATAATGGCCCTCCCAAAGTTGCCTATGTCCTAAACCCTAGAACCTGTGAATATGTTACATTACATGGCAAAGGGGAATTAAGATGGAATTAAGGTTCCTAATCAGCTGATTTTGAAATGATAAGGTTTTCCTGCATTATCTCAGTGGGCCACTGTAATCATAAGAGTCTTTAAATGTAGAAGAGGGAGGCAGAAGAGACTAAGAGGGAGATGTGACTGTGGCAGAGGTCAGAGATGTGATATGAGGAGGACTCAATTTGCCTTTGAAACTTTGAAGATGAAGGAAGAGGACTGGGAGCCAAGGAATGCAGGTGGCCTCTAGAATATACAAAAGTCAAGGAAACAGACCATACCCAGGGCCTACAAAAATGAACGTAGCCTTGCTGACACCTTGATTTTAGCCCAAGGAAACCTTTTAGACTTCTGACTTAACAGAAGTGCAAGATTATAAATTTGTGTTGTTTTACAACTCTAATTTTGTGGTGATTTGTTACATCTGCAGTAGAAACTAATACACAAACTAAGATATTTGATAATAAAATTTCAAAGAGCATTTGGCAAATTTCATGTATAATCATTGTGCTTCACATGAAGGACAGAATATATAAAAGAAAAATTCTGCCACAGAATCTCAGAACAGAAAAGTACCTACGAAATTATTGAATTCAACACCATCATTTTATACGTAAGGAAACTGATACCTAGTTGCATAATAAGCAAAGTAGGAGAGTTAGAACTTGGAGATTTTTGATTTTTAGTTCAGACTCTTGAATTGTCTTTTAGTTTATCTTTTGGTAAGTGTATAACAGAATAAATGCAAAAGTTCACATAACAAAACAGTTTGATAAATGATTAGATGGAGAATTTATATTCTAAGATTTGCCATGGACCTAATGACTTTTGACCACTAGCTCTATGTTGCTTCCTTATCCTGAAAATGTAAACAGTATAGCTATAGTAGGCTGAATAATGGTCCCCCAGAATATCTACATCCTAATCTCCAGAACTTGTGGATATTACCTCTAATGGCTTTGCAAATGTGATTAAAAACGCAGTGTGACAACGGAAGCAGAGATCTGAGTGATGCACTTTGAAGATGGAGGAAGGAGCCACAAGTCAAGGAATACAGGTAGCCACTAAAAGCTGAAAATCAAGGCAAGGAAATGATTGTCCCCTTAGAGACTCCAAAAGGAACCAGCCCTGCTGACATGAGTTTAGTCCACTGACAATGATTTTGGATTTCTGACCTCCAGAACTATGAGAGAATAAATTTATGTTGTTTTAAGTCATTAAGTGTGTGGGAATTTGTTACAGTGGCAATAGGAAACCAATACAATAGCCTTACAGAAAAATGTAATTGCAAGCTCATTAAAGCCAGATACTATTATATTATCTTTCTATTTATATTTTCACAATTTCAACTTTGACACAATAGGATAAACCTTGCATTTCTAGGTTATTTTCTATCTAACCCTAACAGCATATAGTCAAGGTTTCTATTAATTTTCATCCAAGAAAACCAGACTTATCAATACAAAATGTCAAAAAAATACTTACCCACTTAATTTCCTTAGAATGTGTTGGAGGATGTTAAATAAACTTGAAATCCTATTAAACAGAAGAAATTTACATTAAATGAAATTTAAAAACTTACTCAACAATTATAGCTCCTCAGGAAGAGAAATGCCCTTAATAACAAAAGAAAACAACAGAAGAGATAATGCAAAACACAGAATACCAAAATTTATTTCTAATTTGATTAAATTATAATATTTACTTAGTTTTTGCCATTTCCTGATTTCTCTTCAAAATCATAAAGTATTTGGCTTGTGTGAATCAGAGCAGTTGTAAAGAGATAACTATTTAATATTCAAATTATAAACTTTAAAAAATGTTCAGAAGTCTTTAGCAGAACTAATTTGCAGAAGAATCTGCCTTTCAGAGATGGTGGTGAATTGGCTTCCAAAGAAATTGAGAAGTACTTTAAATGTGTGATGCCAGAGAAGCCACTGACTGGGGACAGGATAGTTAAAGGGAAATGAAATGTAAGATATTTCCTTAGTGTCTGTTCTAGACCTGAACTCATTCCCTTAATTATTTAAAAATGGTTTTCACTGGGAGAGGTGGGGCAGGCAGTGAACACTGTATGGAAAAGCTTTTCTATTCACATATGTAAATAAGAAGTTACCCCTCAAAAGAAGCAATCCTTATAACAGAAGTGGACATTCTGAAGTACAAGCAGAGAATTCAAGTTTGAATCTGGGACCCTTCAAAAACTGTGTCAAGCCCCAAAGCTGGACCTATGCAACTAGTATAAGTCAGGACAATTTCTCATCCTAAGTGGTGAATCAACATATTAAACACCAAGGCTGTCACTCTAGCTCAGCTGTGTGCTCTGGGGCAAGTTACTCCAAGTCTCAGTTTCCTCAGACATAAAATGGAGATAATACTACCACCAGTCCTTCCTAGAAAGTTATAAGATACAAATTAGACAATGTCGATAAGTTATTTTCCTTTGCATTTAGGTACCTGGAGTTCTGAATACAACAAATTCATTTCAATCTGATATACAGTAATGCTTGGTAGAAGGGCAAACTTTTAGAAGTTAGGATGTCTAAATGAATGTACACAAAACAATCCTGAGAGCTAAGAGTTTGTGACGGCTCTATTCTTTCCCGGCCCTAAAAAAGGGTGAAATGTATGCTCCTGGGCACCTCTAAGATGGTGGGCTACTCTCTTGCTCTAGCCTCCTTTGTCTTAAGTAGAAAGACTGGTGCAACTGGCATTATATTTAATTTGGAGATGGAGATAATTAGTATAGATGGATCACAAATTGGGTCAGGGGAAGCCTCAATGTATAAAAGAATTAAAAGTCCTGAAAATAAATGATTTAAACTTAACCAATATTTAGAGATAAAGGAAAATTGGAGATCATATTAACAAGTTTTTTAATTCCCACAACAAAGTAAACTTTCTTACTTGAGTGCTGAAAGTTTTTCTTTTAATTCTTCTGAGGTAATTTCTTCTAGCAGGAAAAGCTTTGAAGTAAATGCATCAATATGTCCTAAAATAAAATATCAAACTTAAAAAGAACAACTGTAGTATTTAAAAAACAAAAAAGCAAGTTATCCAGTCTCTTTCAAGATGTTTTTACAAAACTGTAATAACTGTAAAGGAACTTTACATTCTAAAAAGAGGAGAAATATACATTTTATTAAGTTTATTAAGTAAAGCTGTATTTTAAAAAGTCAGATTATAAAAGAAATATGTATTAATGCTACAATTAATACAAATATGTATTAATGCTACAATTAATACAAATATGTATTAATGCTACAGAAATATGTATTTGCTGAATGTGGAAAAATTTACACATGTTCACACCAAAAATTCAGCTCTGAGCCTACAATTTAAGAATAACAACTGTTAAAATATTAGTGTTTCTAATTTCTATTAAAGTGGGACTTTTATGGAGATTAAATTTTTAGAGAAATATGTACCTACTATCAAAGCAAGCAGATAAAGTCAAATTTATAGTTTGGGCATGCTCTATACACCTGTAAGATATACTTGGTTCTTAAGATAAAAATTAGATTATAAAAATCTGCTTAATTATTCACAATAGCCAAGACATGGAGACAACCTGTGTCTATCAATGGATGAATGGAAACAGAAGATGCGGTATATATACAATGCAATATTATTCAGCGACAAGAAAGAGGGAAATCCTGCTCTTTATGACAACATAGATGCCTTGACGGCATTATGCTATGTGAATTAAGCCAGACAGAGAAAGATAAATACTGTATGATATCACTCATATGTGAAATCTCAAAAAAAAAAAAGTCAAACTTATAGAAACAGAGAGTAGCAAAGTGGTTCCCAGGGGCGAAGGGGAAGAGTGAATAGGGAGAAGTTGGTAAATAGGTACAAACTTTCAGCTATTAGATGAATAAGGTCTGACCCAATGTATGACATGGTCACTATAGTCAATAAGACAATAAGACTGTATTGTATAACTGAAAGAGTAGAAATGAAATGTTCTCATAAAAAAAAAAAAGAAAAAATACAAATATGTGAGGTGATGGACATGTTAATTAACTAGATGGGAGAAATCCTTTCACAATGTATATGTATATCAAATCATTATGATATACACTTTAAATATCTTACAATTTTATTTGTCAATTATACTTCAATAAAGCTTAAAAAAAATCTGACTTATTTTTAATTAAAGCACATCATTACATTTCCTATGGTTAAAAAAAAATCAAAATAGCTGCTCAAAGTCTTTTTTTCTTTTTTGGTGAGGAGGACTAGCCCTGAACTAACATCCGATGCCAATCCTCCCTTTTTTCTTGAGGAAGATTGGCCCTGAGCTAACATCCATGCCCATCTTCCTCTACTTTATATGGGACACCGCCACAGCATGGCTTACCAAGCGGTGCGTCAGTGCACACCCAGGATCCGAACCTGCGAACCCCGGGCCACCGAAGCGGAGCGCAGGCACTTAACCACTTGCACCACCAGGCCAGCCCTCAAAGTCTTACTTTCTTACAAATATGACATAATTCTAGAATTCCAAAACACAAAATAGTCTACCCTCAAGATGACAGTTCTATTTTTAGAAGCAATATATATGTTCTACAACAAAACAGGTTGAGATACATACAACACTGAGGCCTTGAAATGTAACAAGGAAGAGTGGTATCAAAGACAGCCCTGAGTTAAATGTTATATAATCAAGTCAATACAAAAATCATGTTATTGTACGACAGTTAAAAATATCAATTAACACGGTAATAGTCTAACATTCACCAAGGCTGAAAATAATACCATTCTGTTTTTATTTTTTTAACTTCCAATATTTAATTATCAAAACACAATACCTGGAAAGCTGACATCAATCACCAAGACAACAAAAAAATGCACATAATTTAATATCTCATTTTCATATCTAGCCCTCTTTCATTTCATATGCTTTGTGCTCATAAAAAGAATTAGAAAAATTTTTACCAAATACTTTTCTTCTAAGACAACAAATCCATTTTCCCACACCTACTTATTTCCTATGTTAAGTTTTAATTTCACCTCTGCATTTCTAACACTCATTATATAGTGATGTTTCAAATAACATATTTTAACGGTTAATAACTGTAGAAAAGAAATATTAAGTACAATAAAATATCTTTAGACATTTACTAAATATACCTTTGAGAAGACTCACTCATAGTTCTTACCTTTTTAAAGAAATCTCAATGAAAAGTATGTGTTATAGTATATGCCAAATATGGTCAGTCAAACACAACTATACAGAGGCCGGCCCTGTGGCTTAGCAGTTAAGTGTGCGTGCTCTGCTACTGGCGGCCCGGGTTCGGATCCCGGGCGCGCACCGACGTACCACTTGTCGGGCCATGCTAAGGCCGCATCCCACATACAGCAACTAGAAGGATGTGCAACTATGACATACAACTATCCACTGGGGCTTGGGGGAGAAAAAGGGTAAAAAAAAAAAAAAAAAAAGAGGAGGAGGATTGGCAATAGATGTTAGCTCAGGGCCGGTCTTCCTCAGTAAAAAGAGGAGGATTGGCATGGATGTTAGCTCAGGGCTGATCTTCCTCACAAAAACACCCCCAAAAAAACCTATACAGAGAATACCATACTAAGTGCTATGAGGGCTTAAAGCGCCTCCTCAAGGAGTTTACAACTCTCTCAACACTGGAGCATTGTAACCTGTGGGCCTCAAATGAGTTATACTTGTGCTTGAGATATTTATCTCCTCAGCCCTTGGGGCAGCTGAGCAAGGCTTGGGATGGCAAGAGGTTCTTAGTCACTGCCCTTCAGCCATGGGCAATCTCTTCTGTATATCACAGTGTGCTATGCAAATGTTTTTTGTGTGTATGTCAAGGTTGGGAAGCACTGCTTTATATGGTACAAATAAGGCCTTTATACAATACAAATAAAGGCTTTATATACATGCTTTCATTCATACACATATACATGCATACATACATAAACATAGGCAGTCTTTGGTTTGAATGCAGTATAGGATGGTAAAAATAATCATATAAGCCAAAACTGTGCAAGAAATTTTAATAATCAATGGGAAAAATTACTATTGTTCCATTATCTTGAAAATTTTTTGTCAAAACATTGTAAATTCTCCATCAATTATAAATGTATAAGGAAATGAAAAAATAGTCAAACTAATATTTATTTAGTGCACTAATTTAAAACACTGAAAACATTGAGAATTCAAGTGTTTTATTTCTTTATAAAAAATTTATCAAGAGCAGTTTGAACAGTGCTTATTGCCTTCTTCTGGTGTAACTTATGATAGGAAGCAAGCATCTTTTCTTTTTTTTTTTTTAATTTTTTGTTTATTGCAGTAACATTGGTTTATAACATTGTAAAAATTTCAGGTGTACATCATTGTACTT